TAATAATGAATCCAGATCAAGCAAATATACATTGCCCAGCAAAGTATTTTCCCAAAATGCCCCAGCAAAGTATTTTCCCAAATGCCCCAGCAAAGTATTTTCCCAAATGCCCCAGCAAAGTATTGCTTTACAATTTTCCCCAAACGCCCCAACTCTCATAGCTCTGCTTCCCTGAACTGTCTGTACAGTACAAGATCACAAAAGAGAAGAGCAGACTCCAGCAGCTCTCCATTAACTAGACTGGGGAAAGAAGAAACGAGGAAGGGGGTAGCAGTGAAGAAGGGAGTGGATTGCCTTACTGTGTCTGTGGAGATGCACACAAGGGTGGTTCAATAGGAGCCTGCAAGGGAAAGGAGCCACCATAAGGGCCGGTTCACACCAAAAAACAGTGTTCCAGAGCGGTCAGGCTCTGAAACGCATTGAATCGCATTCCGGCCGGCTTCCTGTGTTCAGGGGCGGAAGGGGGTGTGGCGGTGCATTGAGGTCAATGGCACCGCAGCCACGGCCCTCCGCCTGCACTAGAACGAGTGGCACATCAGTTGCTTTGTTCTGGTTTAGTGCGATCTGCAAAAATGCGGCAAGCACTGAACGCAGGAAGCCGGCCAGAATGCAATTCAGTGCGTTTTAGAGCCTGACCACTCTGGAACGCACTGTTTATGGTGTGAATGGGCCCTAAAACAGGATATCAGGACCAGTGCTCAGGGGACCAGCTGGTTCTGCAAGAACCTGAAACGTTTACACATCCAGGAGCAGCGTCCATTGTAAGTGGATTCATCAGCATTTGTAATAGCCGAAAATAAGTGCTATCACTTGAACATGGACGGCTTCTTTTTATTAACACGTCTGTGGTCACCACTAGTATTGGTCTCGGGCGTGTTCGCAGCTCCATGTGCCGAGCCCGCCAGGAAGCTGACAGCGCCCATCACAGGTACTGAGACATTTCCTGATCTCTGCAGCTGCGGACCGGGAACATGTCTCAGTACCTGCGATTGGCGCTGTCAGCTTCCTGGCAGGCTCGGCGCGTGGAGCTGCGAACACGCCCGAGCCCATCACTAGTCACCACATGTTGTCTAATATGTAAAATTCATAATATCCAAGTTACAGGTGAGCTCAGCCCGTGATGCCAGATTTTTACCAATGGCTACACAATTCATCAACACTCGGCGCCTTCTTAGCTATGGAAATTTGTAGTTGCAGAATTTTGCATACATTAGTCTGGTTTTCCATAGAACAATCGATATCTTTAGGTTTGGCGGCACGTTATGCTTGCATGTCTTTGCCTTATATAGGATTTCCTACAAACTGCTGTCCATGGGGGTCTGTCCACAAAGGGGTTAAACTCAGTCATCACAATCACTAAAGCTGGCCATAGACTGTAAAATCTCGCACGGTATACAATTTGAGTCTGAGTCCAAGTGCGTGACCCGGACCTGTACGGATGAGCAGGTTCAGGTCAGTGTGTACCACGTTCTAGGGATATATAAAGCAGCTGCACCTATCCCTCCTGGGAGCAGATGTGTGCACAGGCGAGCACACCCATGTAAATCAGGCCTGAGATCTACCAACAACTATATGGGTCTGCCCGATTAGATCCAAAGGGTGCTATAGGTTTGTCCCTATAATATATCGTTTGGGTAAATCTACAGGAGATTGTATGGCGAGTTTTGGATCGAACAATAATGATGTAGTGCAAAGGCCCGCCTGGCTGCACACTAGGGCTGCAACAACTAATCGACATAATCGATTTTGTAAATAATCGTTAGCTGCAGCTCTACTGCACACAGTCAATGGATTTGTTTTAGGTTTGTCTGTATCGCATCACATGGTATTGGTAAAGGAGATTGTACAAGCAGATTGTATATTCTATGACCAGCTTTAGATGCACCGATACTAAGTGATGTATAAACAAACTTAAACAACCCATTCAATTTGTATCCAATCAGGTAAAACATTGCACTACATAACGGTTCATAGATCTAAACTAGATTGTAAAGTCACCCCACACATTGCAATCTTACCCTACAATCTCTGCACGATCAACTTTAAACTCACCACACACACACACCTTGCAATCTGATTGTACAATCTTCTTTAGCTCTGCCAACAACTATGTAATGCAAGGGCCTCCCTGATACAGATTGATTGGATAGTTCAGTTTGGTCCTCATATTACATAGGTTTTGATGGATTTACATTTGATTGTATGACCAGATCGTAAAGTGTATGGTGAGCCTGAGTTTCCTCCTCTATGTTTGCATGCTCTGCTCTCTTCCCCTCTAGTTAATCGATCGCTGTCATGATGTTGATCAGCACTCACCTTTAAAAAGCCGCACTTGGTGGTTGTTGAAGGGGATATTGTTAGCCTTGGCGAAGATGTACACCGATCGGCATGGCTGGGACAAGAGATCCAGATATAGGGTGAGATCGGTCATCGTAGAGCTGTGCGATGCCGGCCCGACACTCAGTTAATGATGACAGGCAGAGCTCAGCACAGAGCGGAGACTCTACACAGAGTTCTATGGAGGGACACGCCCCCCTCACGAGACACGCCCCCTTCTTCTCCATATGAAATGTGAGCTGTCATGTGGACTCCTAGTGACCTCTGCTCACAGTGCTGTGATCGCACAATTCATTACATTGTGTTACCTCATTCATAGGAACTCCAGGATTTCTACACATTGACCCATAGGCCTCATTCACACAGCTAAGAGCCGGCCCGTACAGATCCGTGCGGCGTGCATGGCCGTATCGGGCCACTCCCGGGAAGGACAGATCCATCTTGTCTGCGTACCAGTACGGACACCCGCACCCCCATACAGAAGGACAGGCTGCTGCGTACAATCACACGCAGCACCACCTGTCTTTCCCGGGAGCGGCCCGATACTGGCTACCCCTGTACTGCAAGGGTTAACTGCTCATTTTTTCTCTAGGGGCAAAGATACATAAAAAGTAGTTCTTACCTGATCCTCGATCCAGTTTGGCTGGTAGACCATTCCCCAGCCTTTTCTCACCTGAGCTACAGTGGTCTATAGACCCGTAACGCCATCATGTCTAATACAGGTTAGACATGAATACGCCAAGGGACATACCACAGCTGGAGGGGGGGAGAGCTGTGAACAGTCACAGGATCAGGTATTTCTTCTTTTTTTTTTTAACCCCTAGAGAAAAACAAGCAGTTAACCTTTGCAGGGAAGGGGTAGCCTCACTGCAATGGTTAATATTTCAAAACCCTGGAGTTCGTTAATATTTGTAGAATATATCTAATTTTTATTATTATTATAAGGGATGCACCGATACTGAGTATTTGGGTGAGTACACGTACTCAACCAAATACTCCGATACCTTCCCCCAATACCGGAACTTCCAGTCAGAGGGTGATTTCCTCTGACTGGGAGTGCCGTAAGGAAACATGGAGCCAGCTTTCCTGGCCAATCAGAAAGCCGGACTGCGGGTAATGACTCGTGGCTCAGCATCTTGATTGGCCGGGAAGCCAACTCCATGCTGATTGGGCTTCCCAGCCAATCAGGACCGAGTCAACCAAACAGCATGGAGCCGACTATCTATCTACATATATATAGATAGGTAGGTATATCTATCTATCTATCTATCTATCTATCTATCTATCTATCTATCTATCTATCTATATACACTATATTGCCGAAAGTATTGGGACACCCCTCCAAATCATTGGATTCAGGTGTTCAACCACCTCCATGGCCGCAGGTGTATAAAATCACGCACCTCGGCATGCAGACGCTTCTACAAACATGTGTGAAAGAATGGGTCGCTCTCAGGAGCTCAATGAATTCAAGCGTGGTACCGTGATAGGTTGTCACCTGAGCAATAAGTCCATCCATGAAATTTCCTTGCTACTAAATATTCCACGGTCACCTGTTAGTGGTATTATAAGTGGAAGCAACTGGGAACAACAGCAACGAAGTGACGAAGTGGTAGGCCATATAAAATGACAGAGAGGGGTCAGCGCATGCTGAAGAGCACAGTGCGCAGAAGTCGACAAGTGTCTGCAGAGTCAATAGTTACAGACCTCCAAACTTCAGATTGGCACAACAACAGTGCGTAGAGAGCTTCATGGAATGGGTTTCCATGGCCGAGCAGCTGCATCCAAGCCTTACATCACCAAGTGCAATGCAAAGTGTCGGATGCAGTGGTGTAAAGCGCGCCGCCACTGGACTCTAGAGAAGTGAAGACGTGTTCTCTGGAGTGACGAATCACGCTTCTCTGTCTGGCAATCCGATAGACGTATCTGGGTTTGGTGGTTGCCAGGAGAACGGTACTTGCCTGACTGCATTGTGCCAAGTGTAAAGTTTGGTGGAGGGGAGATTATGGTGTGGGGTTGTTTTTCCGGGGTTGGGCTTGGCCCCTTAGTTCCAGTGAAGGGAACTCTTAAGGCATCAGCAAACCAAGACATTTTGGGACAATTTCATGCTCCCAGCTTTGTGGGAACAGTTTGGGGATGGCCCCTTCCTGTTCCAACATGACTGCGCACCAGTGCACAAAGCAAGGTCCATAAAGACATGGATGAGCGAGTTTGGGGTGGAGGAACTTGACTGGCCTGCACAGAGTCCTGAGCTCAACCCGATAGAACACCTCTGGGATTAATTAGAGCGGAGACTGCAAGCCCGGCCTTCTCGTCCAACATCAGTACCTGACCTCACAAATGCGCTTCTGGAAGAATGGTCAAACATTCCCATAGACACACTCCTAAACCTTGTGGACGCCTTCCCAGAAGAGTTGAAGCTGTTATAGCAGCAAAGGGTGGGCCACCTCAATATTGAACCCTACGGACTAAGACTGGGATGCCATTACAGTTCATGTGCGTGTAAAGGCAGGCGCCCCAATACTTTTGGCAAGTGTGTGTGTGTTTTGTATATATTTATAATATTTCTGATGGGTTAGCTGAATTCACTTTACCGATTCAACTCACTTATCATACATTTTATCTTACTTCTTTCAGTGTTAATACTATTTACATCCGTGTGTTTTGTCTCCCCCAATTCTTTTTCTATTCAGAGTTTACAAATGCAAAACTTCTAACAGAGCAAATATTAATAGGTAATATGCTTGTGCAAAGCAGGGCTAAATGTAGAAAACAAATTACCCCCCGGCGCCCGGAACTCCATGTTTCAGGAGTCGGGAGACTTCAAACATGTGCCGCCCCTCTGCTCCGTGCCACCCCGAGGCCGGGCCTCGGTGGCCTTGTCGGGAATCCAGCCCTGATTGTGCATGAGGATGCAGAGGGAGCTCCCATAGCGGTGGCATCATCACTGTGTTGTACTTCACCTGTGCAGAACACAGAGATGTTGGAGGAACCCAGCGTGCCCCACCCACTACAGGCTGCCTGCAGAAATCTACAGGAGGGGGCGAATACAAGACCAGTCTCCCTGCACAAGAAGAGAAAGCAGCAGTGACTGGACTTTATTACAGGAAGCTCCTGAACAGAGTCAACGCATCACACTGGATTACTACACAGATCTGGAAGAAATGCACAAAGTGCAGCAAGATTCAAGTAAGAATACACCACTACTGTATTTCACAAATAGGATTGCTAACATTTCTCATAATACAATTGTAAGCTCAGCTGACTTTCTGGGAAGTGTCAGTGTGATGAATTTAATCACTGCAGATTTGTATAGTAGTAATGCAAGATGATGTAATGCATTGTAAGTCTGGCTGCCCCCTTCCACAGCTCCAGGCCTGTCCTCCAATAGGGAATGCAGCACAATTTCACCATGAAAGCAGAATCCACATTTGGGACACGTCTTTGTGGTGCGTTTAATGCACGCACAGTACTATTTTATACAATGCAGTGGAACACAACACAAGGTGGCTTGTCAATGTGCGTTGTGGTATAATGGGGTAGGTACAATGCAACAATGTAAATTCGGACAGGTGTCACCACTGATGCCTGTGCATACTTGAAACGTCGTTCAGGCCCCGTACACACTATTGCACTGTGGTGCTACATATATAAAACCAGTAATGCATATTCATGGCATGAATAATCCTGTTCCAGGTGTTGCTATGGAGTAAAATAAATGTAACAAGTCCTCTAATGAGCCCCCACTGTCAGGTCCACTTGTGTGTTCATCTTAATTGCACAACAAGAGAGGCTCTAATGGCTCGTCACTGGAAATCTGCTGAATCACCCGGCATGGCTCTGTTGTCACTGAGCTGTACTGTCACACAGATAAAGATGATTTGTCTGATGAAACTACATAGACGTTATGTCAATAAATAAGGTCAAGAGCTATAATATTCTTCAGAGGGCAAACAGTCATCTGATTCTGGTAAATATATCTACGTTGTAAGTAGGAGATGTCAGAAAATATTTTTATAACAGAAATAATCAAATTTCTGGAACATGAGCTTATAATAGGAAAAAAGATTACAAAGTAATAAGAACAGTCAAGGAAGGTTTAAGGGCCTGTTCACATGAGATCAGGTCCTGATCAGCAGACGTGGAGCTGCTGATGCATTGCGTTTTTGGCCGCGTTTTTGATGCGTTCCAGCAAAAAAACAAAAACGTTTTTGTTTTTTTTCTGGAGTGGGGCTGTTAGTATGTTAGCTGCAGCGCAGTGCGTTTTTGACGCGTTTGCGTATCCTGACCGTTTCCGGACCTGACAAAATGTGACATGCAGTATTTTTTCTGTCGTAAGCTGAACGGACTGCGCACGTGAGAACTGTAGCCCATAAAACACATGGGGATACATTGGGATGCATTTTGTGTGCAGCAGCGTACAGAGCCGGTCAGCACACAAAACGGACGTCGTGTGAACAGGCCCTAAGGCCCCATTCACACTGAGCGACATGGGGATTGCGTGTTTTTCCGTGCGATTTCGTGCTGAACGGCTTTAGGCAATAATGAGCGACAATGCACATTTTATCGCGTTACATAATGCGTTTTTTGGGCGGGACTTTGTCGCTGCTACATTGGGTTGTAACCAATCAACAGCGATCTTGATGTGACCTCATTCTTTCCCTCCATTTTGCAGTGCAAAAGGGACCCTTCTGTAGCACGATATCACACAATATCGCCGTTAATGCACGACACCATAGAGTCTATTGGAGCCGAATCGCGCGACATCTGCGCAAAAAAGGGTCATGTACGAGCGACAAGCTACAGGCGACATTGAGCTGTGAACAGCCCCGTTGAAATGCATTGGACAAGCTACATAGAGCGATATCGCGCGATTTCGCTGCAGAAATCTCGGGATAAACCGCTCAGTGTGAATGGGGTGTAAATTGATGTCAGCGGTAACGAGCCAGATATAGCATTAGGATGTATAAATCCTGTGCTAAATGAGAAGTATTGGCAGAACTTAGAACTATACTTAGAACAGATGTGGGACACTGCAGCAGTCATGCACCAGCTCTATATAACAAGAGCTGAGCGATCATGTAACCGCTGATTGCTCAGCTCACGGTCTCAGTTACCGCTCCCCGCAGGG